ATGTACTTAGGACAATTAGGGAAGTTTGATGGATATGCATCCGACGTTAATGCCCAGCGATCTCGTGGAATTTCTACTTTCTGTCCATTTATAACATGGGAGAAGATTTTTAAAATAAATCTACTCGCAAAATGTACGTCACAAACGTAACATTTATTTGTTAGCATCTTGTCGTCTCGTGGAATGCATCGCATCCACTCCTCAATCTTATCTCTAGGAACACGAAATAAATGTCTCTTCTTCTTTCTTATTCTTCTTTGTTTATATGGAGAATTTAGCACTTCATAAATGTCTCTTCTCGTTCGATGACTTATATCCTGCCTTGCATCCTGGCACAAAGCACGTTGGCATTTTTATGTAGCTAAAAAAAACAATTATAGGTCAAAATCACTTACTTCAGTATATACCTAGCAAGAACAACGCTCTCCTGTTAACAGTGGCGCCAACTAGCGGCAAATATTGTCTCTAGCTAAGTTTGAACTATTAGTCGAAAGACCAGTTAATCTACCGATTCTGGCCATGTCTTGGGCTACTCAAATATTTTACGTTTTTGATACTAAATTAACTTCTGAAGTATAATTTTTATTGTTTTTATATTTTTCAATATATTTATTTTGTTTGTACAAAATAAAAAAATAATTTTTAACGATACAATAGTCTTCGTTAGGCTTAACATCAACGAAAATCCAAAGCGAAGCGACACGCAACGGAGAAAAATTTCAACATGGGATAGGTTATATTTTTCGTACATAATCGGTTATCCGAAACATCGATCTTCCGAACAGCCCCCGTCCCCAATTGATTCGGATAATCTACTCTCTACTGTAATAAAATCTATAGCAAATTTAATATGAACGTTATTTTAAGTATACATAGCGCCATCTATCGGAAAACAATGTATCTATTAAAAATATTCTTTAAATAAGAATTACAAGAATAACGATAACAAATTCTATTAAAAGTATTAAGTAGTAACCTCGAATGATTTTATACAATTATTTAAAAACTAAAACAAAATAAATACCCCTGGCGGGACTCGAACCCGCAATCCCCGGTTTAGGAGACCGATGCCTTATCCATTAGGCCACAGGGGCTTCGACTTGTCCTTCTTTAAAATAGTTTTTAAATCCGAAATAAAATTATTACTTTTGTGACGTATAATAATTGTCATTTTCTTATAGAAGAAGACACAAATAATAATACCTTACAATTATAATAACGTATATCGAATAGTTTCAATTAATTATAATAAATTAACCCATTGTCTAAATGAATAAATCTACCTGAAATCTGCTAATGCTTTTCTAACAAAGAATAATTTACAAAAAAATCTATATTTAATTTATACAATTAAACGAACTCATGCTTAATTACTCAATTTTCATTTCCATGTACCGATTAAATTGTTAAAACAACCAATCAGAAAATGTAAAAAAAAATTCCCTACTGCCGTTATTAGACGAGGAGGGAGAGTTTAAAAATGTCAAGCAGAAACTTGTTGCTGCTCTACGTATTTTTTACGTTGATAAAAACTTTAAAATTTCAAACGGAAGATCATTTCAATATGGCAAAATTTGAACTTTTACCAACTCAACAGCTGGAAATGATGGATGGTAAAAATCGTTACGAACTTTTACGTAATCAAATACCATTGTACGGTGATTGCTGGATTAAAGCTGTGGAAGAATTGCATTTGGGATGTAAACAATTAAACGAAGAAATACAAAGTAGATTGGCTTTCTCATTTGCCAGATGTTTTCTTCTAAAACTCGGATTGAAAATTGATCCCTGCCCATCGCATGTAGATATTGCAGAATGCATGAAGGATATGAATGAAAGAATTTTTACTTCTTACACTGAATTTTTTACGCATACTCAAAGTATATGCTTCTTCTTACAGAGCCAAGTTTGGCAAAACGAAGTTGAAGGTACTGTTCGTAAACTGTCGGCAACTTCGAAACGGTTGAGTTATAAGTTGGAACTGGCCTCGGAGAAGCAAATGGAAATATTAAAATTACAGAGTGTCTCTCTGGATGAACAGCAGAAAATGTTGAAATCTGGTAATGATCTTAATAGCCAAATTGAAAAGTCCAGAGAGAATATTAAAAATGTCTTTCAGGAGCTTAAATCTACTACTCAAGAACACAGAATTTTAATTTTTGAAGTCTTTGAGCAGATTAATAAATTAAATGCTCTTATTTTAGGTGGTTTTGTTGGGTTTTATACCATAGTGTTTTATGTAGTGTCAATTTTTGTTTCATATTTATTGACTTCCACTACAAGAACTCAAGATGCTCGGTTATGGTTATTTATCATTATGACTTTAAACTGTATAGGAGAACAAATAATATGTTCATATAGTATGAAAGAGGAAAGTGAAAGAAATAAGTTATTACAAGATGACGTAAGTATTTTATAATTTTTAAAATTCATAATAGTAAAAATAGTATTTGGATGAAATACAGAATGTGTACATAGATACATAGTTTTTGATATAACACGTGGATTCCTTCCACTTTCAGAAATTTTTTCGAAAAATGGCATGTTCCATATTTTTCAAAAACATTCGAATTAAAGAATCCAGTTATAACGAAAGGTATAAAAAAGTAAGCCTGAAGAAGATCCCAGGAGGGGAATCGAAAACGTTTGCCGATTTTAAAGAATTTCGCACCGGTTACTGGTTAATTGTAGATAGTTGTTTATTTGAAGTATATACAACCCGGTGTGGTGAGAAAGCACATTAATTGTGTACATAGAATTTTCATTCATTTTTTATAATACTTTCCAATTGAAAACTGTGATCTGATAAGTCCTACAAATTGATAGTAAATTCAAAAGTAGCTATTAAGAAGAGTAAATAAGCATCTTTACCTGTCATAACAATCCATTATGTATGGGTATACACAGTGGCGTAGCTACATATTCAGCGCCCTGGAGCGAGTCGAATCGGTGCACTCCTTGTTCCTCAGAAGAGGTCTGGCAAAATTTATTTTGAAAATTTTATTTAAAAACATATCTAATTATTTTGATTTAAAATTTTACTTAATAACAATTTATTTGAGATTTGAGGCATTTCAACAACAAGGTATTCAATTTAATAAATCTTATAATGTAATGAAGATGGGTTGATAATAATAATAATAAGCGCAGAGCCCAAATGGTTAGGAGTCAAAAGCTGAAATTTCGTACACAGTTAGGATATGTCATGCCAATGCACACTAAGAAGGGATTTTTTGAAATTCCCCCGCAGGTGGAGAGGAAGACGGAATTACTTTTTATGCATATTATACAAAACGTATACATAAATACCTATTTATTTTAAAAAAAATTGGAGGGCAATTCAGATAATCAAATTTCTGGATAATTGGAGTTTTACTGTATTTGTTAAGGAAGCTATTCAGATAAATTTATATCCAGTCCAAATTGTTTTTCTCGGAGCAAAAAATTTATACGACTCAGATACTTTGAATAATAATGTAGGGCCAAGAAGGGATAAATTTAAAAATGAAATTAACAATAATATGCAATATATATCATCATTGTCTCCATTGCCATTTAGACTGCCGAGCCTTCAATCAGCGACATGTGGGAACAATTGAGTCAGAGATAGATGCCTCATTTACAACAACACAACCCGTTTATTATACATGAAAGAAGCTTACAAGATTCTCGCGATCTTGGAAATTCTATGTCGGCTGCAGCCTCTGGGTCTTCCTCTCCTTTCCAAGATAGTCCCATTTTGGAGGAGTGTCCCTGGTTCACCAATGATCAATTCCATCGCCATCTCGATGACTCCAGGATAATGCAGTCGACTTCTGTTGATGGAAAGATGTCAAGATGTCAATCCAATGTCAGGAGATGGAAACGAAGATGGGTACAAGACACACACACACAACAATAGATCCGTCACTTGGAACTTTCGGGAGAAGGAGCCGTCGTGTCCTTGAATTTCTGGGGTTTTGTTTGTTTTCCTCCGATTCCACTTTCCGATTGGTCTCTCCTTGTTATCTGATGACAATTCGAAACCTTTCAGGGGCACAGGAGAGGTCAAAATCAAAGTTTAATTCGATCTCCAACCAGAGATGGTCGATGGTCTTACATTCTTCTATTGTTTAAAAGTTAGCATTGCATTTTTATAAAATAAAAATATATTTCTAACTACTATAGTTTTTCTTTAAAAAAAATTATTTTAATGCAAATTTTAGTGAGGGTTTGGACCTGTCCAGAGCCTCACAATGTGGCCATCAGTAGGAATGAAAATAGTGGTTGAGTCCTAATTGAAAGCATTTGAATTTTTAACACATCCAATTCAAACTATTTTTCATGGAATAAAAAGCTGTTTGAGTTGGATGTGTGTTATATATATCTTGATTCATGCATGATACAGCATGTTTTTTATTATGTAATTTTATGAAGTTACTTTATATTTTATTTCTTCTTATACTATTTTATTTTTGTGATTAATTTTAATATTTAAAAGGATAGGAGCATTCACATATTATGTCACATCAATGAGTATTGATATGAGAACCATTGTGACAAGAACAATGTTTATGCTCCACAGTTATGTCATGTTTGTCCATTGCAAACATGTGATAATTAAATTTTTTTCATAATATTTCATTAATTTTTATTAATGAATCTCCTACTTGTTGTAATAATTTACAAGGTATGTCTTAAGTAGGGTTGTCAGACATCATTTATTTCAAAGGATAATCCTTTTTCATTTTCAATACCTAATGTTTTGTAATGCAGTGGTGGATTTCCATATAAATGTATACCTATTTTTATGATAATTATATGTATATATCAATCCATATCCTTTTCCATAGAAAGCTATGGTTTATCATTCTTTTAAAATTTATAAATAAATAAAACTGAAATTGGCTATAAATATTTGTAAATGTTAAAACTAACTTTTAAATCAAAATGAAAAAATTATAAATAAAATGTTTAGTTATTAATTTTTTTTAAGACTTTGCTTCTGGGCATTGAGGCCTTTTATCAAGCCCCATTGTAGTTTGCCAGGCCCACCTACAATGGGACAAGGAACAGGGCCAGACATATCTGGGATGGATACCCCTGAAAAGCTCATGGGATTCTTCAGTGTGTTTTGTTTTTTTATCTAGGTCTCCAGAGCTGTAGGTTCAGCTTAACTGCTCAGCCATCCAATCATCTAAGTGTTAACTAAAAAATCATTCAGTTTTACTTTTTTTGGGATGGGACAAGGTGGAATGAAAGTTTGTGAATAACATTAATCATTTAACTATCCTTTAATCCAGCTGTAGAAATCTGATAACCATAACTATATGCTTTACTCATGACCTCAAATGACCAATACATCAGATCTTGGATGGAACTGAAATCCATCCTATCAAATGCAAATATACACTGTGTTTTTGCATTAATAATTTCTTGACAAGCATTTTCTATCAGCTTAAGAATCTTCAACAGCTTCTTTTAAGACAACGGTGCCATTGTATCCTTCAGTAAAGATGTTTTGAGTGAGCAAGTGTGCAAAAAATATAGCCTGTTCCATTCATCATCAGTAGTTTGAAGCTGCACATAATAATATGCCAGCAAGGAAGTAAAACAGTGTTCAAACAGGTGCAATCAAGTCTTGTTGCAACCTTTAGACAAAGAGAACTTGTAATTCTGATTAAAAATTCAGGAGCTGTAGAGGTAGAATAGAACATAATTTTAATATGATTTAATGTTGCTTTTCCTATAAATTGCTTTTCTACTAGTCAAATTATTGTGGCAGATATTAATCAATACATGTGTTCTGATTGACAAGGGTAAGTTCAGTATCATAAAATAACTAAGAAGGTTTGTGCAATAAAACATTTTATTTGCTTTTGTATTAGATCACTTATACAATTTCTTTTTGAGAAAGGGTGGAAGATCAAATACATGTTATGTAGTAATCTAAAATATTAGTTTTGAGGGGACATTATCTATGACAGAATTTTACAAAATGATGAGGAGGCATAAAAATTGCTGGAACTTTTATTTGTGGCATAATGTGAATGGCCCCATAATCATAATTCAGTTTTACAAAATGTTTTACTTTGTTTAGAATATTTAATAATTTTTTGATAATTATTCTTTATTTTATTTTGCTAGTTACATAATATACAGTAATATATTTATGATTTCATTTGTAGTATATATATTAATTCTTTAACAAAAATTTCATTTTTGTTTTGTAGCTTAAATCTCTTCTTAATAATGATAATAGTTAAAAAACGTCAAAAATGAACAAAAGATTATTGCAAATAAAAAATTAGCAATTAATAAGTATTTGACAAAAGATGAAATGAAATGTTTCTTAAATAGTCTGCTAAAATAAAATTTTGTAAACATTAAACAATGCTTCTTGGCATTGTGTAATGTTTACAAAATTTTATTTTTGCAGACTATCAATATTTTGATAGAACAGTAAATAATTCCTATATTAACAAGGGGAAAAACTAAAGGAACCATTGTTCAGAAACAATCATTAATAAGATATAGCTTTCAAAATTTGCCTCTTTAATATGATAAAAAAAAGTTTATGAAAATATAAAAAATATTTTGAACAGAATCTTTAAACAATATTTAAAGCTTTCCTTTTTACAAGACTAAAAATGCTTATTGACAAGAATAATATTGCCAGCAGCATGAGATTATTTGCTGATATATTTAGACATATGGTCTGTTGCATATACATTTTTGCTAAATGAAATTATTTATTAGCCAATATATAAGTATATACTGTAATGTAGATTATAAGACTCCTCTCAACAAGAAACTGAGATAAGTCTTATAAAAAATAGACTGATTTTTGTATATGAAAGAATGTAAATAAAATTTTTGGAGCAGAATATCTTTCCAAATGTTATTCTTGGCACTTTTGATTTCTTTTAATTTTTGATGAGACTATGTCTTGTCTCTAAAATCACACTGCTATCAATGGCTGCACACCTTTAGAGGTATGAAGGAGTACATGTCAGGAGTTGCAATTTGGCACAGATTATTTGGTGCTCAAATCATGCGAACATAAAATAAACCAGACTTGTAGGTAGTCAACGGACTGAAAACTGGGTCAAAATAAAATACAAAATGCTGAGACTGTTTTTACAAACAGGAGCAAGTGAGAGATTTGCACATGTGCTGCTTGCACTTTCCAAGACAAGTCTTGTCCCAAGAATGGCTTTATTGTTTTACTTGTTTCATTTATATAACAATTGCTACAATCTTATTGGGATGCTAAAGATTCAATTTCAGAGAAAAACAATATATTTAATGATAATATTTTTTTTAGCATATATTAACTATAAAATTTATTTATTTAATTTTTATTATTTAATTATTTTAATT